ACTGGCCTCCAGAAAGTGGCATTTAGAAGTAGTGATAGAGTAGCAATAGAGTCTCAGTCAGCATATGTATCATTAGGTAGATGCTTTGGGGATTCATTATCCTTGGACAAACGGGTCGTATTCTTGCATATTTAACAGCAGGACAAAACACAGAAAAGCTGTGACTTAAGACCCTCACAATCCTAGATTTGACTTCCAGTTTGATTTCTGAGCATGCAAACAAGAAAATTAGCAGATATACTTTTCTCACGGACAAGTAATTCCATGTCATAGTTCCCTGCAAAATGTGCAATATGAAAGAACATATTCATAGGCAGCAGGATTGAAAAAGAAACACAGAAGACAGGGAATGTAGAAGATGAGGCAGATTACATTTATTGAACTATGGAAAAAGGACATATATAGCACTGAGAACACGCTCTAGAGAATTTTTTGAGAAGGTGATAAATATTTCATGTTTTATGAGGTTTGCTGTTGTTGTCTAGTTCGAGGTACTCCAAGTCTAAGGTTCCTTATTTACCTGCGGTAAAATTTTAGGAGTTAATTGTCAACTCCTGCTGCCCTACAGAGATGTTGTTTCACCCAGAAAGTGCCTGCTCAGTGCTTATGAGGGAATTATAGCATCAGAAGATTGACATCACAGCTATATTGAACAGAGAGGAATCAATATTGACTATCCCCATCAATATTAATCAGTATTACATAATCCCTACTACAAAATTATAACTATGTTTTTCTCTATGAGATCCATAGCAAGGAGGTTATCTTCTAATTCTTGTTAGCAGGGGTTTTTTTAATCCCTTGGCTTCTCTGTAGTACGGAGTTTAAACTGCTAATACAAGTTGTAACCTTGCCTTCACTTCTGTTTTAACATGAATTAGCTGAGATTAGCCATGCTGAATTCATTATAAATTTTACAGTAGAAGCAAACTTTCAAGTCTCTGTGTAATCCTTGGATCTGAATATGCAACTGTGACTGTTGCAACTTTGTAATCCCATATCACTACTGCTCAAATTTGCCTAGAATTGAATTAATGAGGAAGCAATAGTAGGATTTGTTTATAAACCCTTGGGTAAAGTAAGTGATGCTGCTTTTAAGTGTTTTGTTTTGGCTTCCAAGTATAGCAGGGCATGCCAATTTTTCTCTAATTTAAAAATTTAAACAGCCTCTAAACTCGATTACGATCTTTATGGAGGTTTGTATTCTGTTCAAAAATCAAGGTGGCCACAATTAACAATTAATTATATTACCCTTAATTGTTTTGAAATAGGAGTTATTCCTATTAGACCAACAAAGTCTAATGGAAAGAAAAAAAACCCAAAACCCAGATTCTTTAATGCACAGGGTGGATTTCTCATCAGATCCACCATATGTACAGTTATTTGTTGGTTCCATTACTTAGTCCAGTGTCATATTTCAGAGATACTTCATTTCTCTTTACAATGAATTTAACAGGTTTCTCTGAACTACAAGTAACCAACATCTTTCATTGCTTTGTGCAATCCTGCATTTAAGCTTCTTAACTGTGACCTTCCATCCCCTCTATCCATCCTTCCTGACATAAGGATTTAGTGGTAATATTGGGCAAAGATACAGAACTGCAAACTCACCATAAAGAGTGACCTCTTAGGATGCAAAATAACTCTTGTGGACAGGAAGAGTAGTAAATTTATATCAAGTCTTAACTGTACATATGAAACCCCTTTTACACTTTAGTTTATCATCTTGCACAAAAAAAAATCAAATCAAGTGGATTTATAGAAATTATTTTGATATAACAGCTTTGGATTCAAGGGCAAAATGTTAAGTGTACATATTGCAAGGTTTCTTAATAGTGATTGATTCGAAAATTGTTTTCTCTAAAGATGGAAAGCTTGCTGTCTGATTACAGACTGACTTGCAGACCTCTGCGAATATATGTTTGGCATAGGAATTCATTAATAGCAGCTCCCTTAATAAAGTGAGAGCTTGAGTCCATTTGTGAGCTCTTTCAAAATGAGTGACTTCTTACTGAACTCCTCGAATTATACAGCTGAAGAATTCTTGAGAAAAGAAAATGATCTATTTGACAGAAGCTATGACTTTGTATATATGCAGAATTAGCAATTCATCTTTAGCTGCATCATATGCGTGTCATATTTTCCAGTTATCTTGTTCTTTGTATTAATAGGTTAGTAGTGTAGACTTGTAGGAGCCTAGATTAGCATGAGAAGAAGTCAGTAACTTGAAATATTGTCAGTAATTTAAAATCTCAAAAAGAAATAAAACTTTTATTATTATTATTATGCTCTTGCTGTAATGTGTATGGAAGTCCAATTTAATAATAAGGAATATCTCACAAAATGTGAACCAGTTTGGGCCTTATGACTCAATGGCTTTGAGTGACACATAAGCTCCAGAGTAGTTTTGATACTTCTGAAAATTGTACTCGTGGAACATTATTTATACTTTAGAGTTAGCCATAAAAGAAATATTTGAAATGTTTACAAGCTGGAAGACTATTGCCAAGAAGTAGTCATCATTCCTATAGAAAGGAAGAACTCCTGAGTTTGTGGTGTAACTGCGCGTTGTGCAGCTGCTTGTATTTAAAGAGATAAAGGTCTTGTGATAATAAAATCAGAAAACTTGGAATCATGGATCTAAACTTAAAATTGCTTAGACTTTACTTGACAAAAACAAAAAAAGTTGTGTTCTATGCAGATTTTTGTAAGCTTTATTTCTCTTGTGTGATGAAAATAGACTGATTAACTCATTAGCATATATGTTATATAGATATGGGAACAGTTCTGAAAAAAAGTATAAACAGATCTTTATAGAGTAATGGCTATTTAACTTAAGTCATAAAAGCGTTATAGTATTTTTATACAAAGTGTGGGCATGCAAATTTACAATTGTAATGAAGTTTTTTACATTTTATGGGATTACATTAGTGTTTCATACACTTATAATCTTCTCCAGTCTGATGTAATTTATACTACAAATTTAGCAAACATTGCATAAGCTTAATGTTAGGAAGATAAAGATGATGGTCGTGTTTCAAACACGCCTTATCACTTTGAAGTCTCTTTATAACTTCTTTCTCCTTTAAGTTCAACTGGCTGAGGTAGATAGGCAGTGACTGACTGAGAGTTTCATTTTGGCCATCCAGATGGCAGTTGCTCTTAATTATGTTTACTTCTTAATTTTAAGTTGTGCTGACACCCACCCACTCTGTTCATCTACTGCTCTTAATGAAAAACGGAAATATCTTTTTTTTGTAACATTAAAAAGGAGAAAGGAAAACGGCAGTACATTGTAAAAAGGTTCCTGTGAGTTAAATTGCTTCTGAAATGCTCATGATATTACCCAGAAGTTGTCCCCTTGGCTGTTTTTGTTCCGCTCAGCAGTGTCTTAATGTTGAGAGAGGCTGCCTGTAGTTCAGTTAAGTTCAGTTCATTTGGTGGAACTAGTTTATTGGTATCCCTAATCTGAGAGTTAAAAACAGATCTTTTTAACTGTATAAAAAAACATTCACTTAGATGCAGTGCACACTCTTAAGGTAGCTTCTGCCCTTTGAACATGCTGAAAGTTTGTTTTCTTACAGGTTACAGGTTTTTACAGGTACTTCTGCATGTCATCTATCACAGGCAGGCAGCCATGGCTGCACAGCACCTAAGGGGCTTTTTTTGGAAACCTCCCCACAGACACAGTTTGTATTATCTTGCAGTGTGTTTTGTATTTCTGCAGTTAACTACTACAACCTTGCCTCATAGAGTTATAGCCTAGTAACAGCAGAGAGCCTGCACCCAGGAGAGGAATTCACTGTAATATGCTATCTGTGACCTTCATTTCTTGCCTCATGCCTGCTTGCTATCAGGCATTTCCTGGTTTTCAACAGAACAGGTATTTGCATTTCAATACAAACTGCCCAACCGGCCAACCAAGAGCCCTCTTACCAGTCAAGTAGAAAACCCAAGTATCTCTTTTAAGCATTTTAATTGCAGCCTGTGAAGGACTGCAAATCTAGTTTATCAGTGTGTAAGTGCCAATATTTAGAGGTGCTGTGCTCCCACTGACTTTCCTGAGAAAGCCAGTGACTCAATCAACTGTTGGTTGTGCACACCTGTACTTTCAGACTGTTCATCCAAACATGTGCTTTTGATTAATTTGTACAGCCGGAACTCAGTACTCCATGTGCAAAAAAAGATGGGAAATACTAAGAGCACATGGAGATGTTATTCTTTAAATATAACTGCAGAACCTCATTTACAGAGTTAGTCCCACTGGGCTTCCAGCAGGAAGGAAAGAATTATCAAAAGGGTGGTAAGAGCAAGGGATCCACTTGAGAATTTTGACTCACTTTGCTGAGGAGCAATTCTTTCTCTCCACTGATCACAAAGGCTCAGTGCCCTACGTAAGTAAACTGAGCCTAGAACTGAGTGATGTAAATATGCTCTCCTAAACACATCTGTGGATGATTTTAATACCCATCAGGTAAAATTTTGTAATCGCTTGTTTATTATAGACCAAGAAGAGGGAAGTTTATCAACATACCTGATGTTTAGGAAGTAGATAGCCTTGAATTGCACAAAACATTTAGATGAACTAGTATAGCAGCACAGAATGTTATACATATGATTCTGTAATCCTCTTCTGGATCCTGCTAGGATCTTGCTTAGATCCAAGCTCTTCAATCTAATTTCAGCATATTAGGTTCTTAAAAAGGATGCTGCCTTGAAGAGCTTTCTGCCAGCTTGATATAAAAAGTCCTCAAGTCTTTTAGAAACTCTCAAGCCCTAATTTGTCAGTCCAGTTTCTTAGGCCATGAAAAATAAAGTCTTACGGCAGTGACTTATGACCCAAAAGAGAAAACTATACAGAACTCATTGTGAAAACAGTATGCCTTACTTTTTGCCTATCTAGCAATATCCACTTCTGTTGCGATGAACGATATAAGGTAACAAATGCCAAAAATGTACATATTAAAAAAGAAAGTTTCATTGTTTCATTTCAAAGGGCCATGACGACAGAATGGCGCTTTGTCCTTCAGAGTGGGAAATCTTTCTGTTTGATAAAGTTAGTGAAGAAAGATTTATAAACTCATCTTCAAAGAAGATGCTCTTCTAATACTTGCAGGATGAAGCAACTTTTTTACAGTGATCCTAAAGCATATTCCCCTGTGAGGAACTCTGCTAATAATATGCTGACTTTGCTAATGAGTACATTGACACAGGGACTGAAGTACTGAAGTGATTCCTTAGATTTTGTTATTCTCAGTTGCCTCCCTAAAATTCTTGTTGCTGCTGCCTGAGGACAGTACCGTTAATTTGTCTTCCTTAATGCTTACCCTTTTTCAAAGTGAAACAGAGTTTCATTTATCTGTGGTATCCTTTGAGGGTTTCTGCCAGGTATAATGGATATTTTCTTTTTAAGAGTAAGATCTGCATGTTTAACATTCTCACAGCTGTATAAATGCAGGTTATGACAAATTCCTGAAGAAATGAAATGTCATGTGTATATGATAAAATACCTGTGCTTCTTTTTAGCACAAATATACACTAATATAGAGACAGATATTTGCATAACTTCACAGAGTGCTGAGAAATAAATCCAATTGTATTTAGGATGTGTTATTTAAGAGATAATATATATGAGCTTGATTACTGAATCATAGCAGAGATTTTAGTTGACTGACACATGCATGATGGGCAGATTAGTTCTTGATCATTAGCTATCACAGACCATTGAACCCAAAATCCTATATCCTAATTAAGACAGAATTGCCATGACTTCATTAACTTATAAAAACATCTGGCTAGGGCAATGCTGAGAGCTGACAATAACCTGAAATTTCTGTCATGATATATTAAGTGTCAAGTGAGATTGAGATTAAAGGAAAAAAAAAGGAATACACAAGTAATTGAAATGAAGACTGTAGTATTGATATGATAGCAGGAAGATAAATAAAACGACAGCTGATCTCTTCCAGATGGGATTTGTTTAGCAATATAAAACATTGCTTTACCAGTCATTGTTTGAAGCACAAACCTTTCAGTAAATTGTAAGAGAAGTCAAAATTCTACTAGTCATTGTGTTTGTATTAAAGGTGCATTTCTTCACTTTTAATTGTTGAAGACTTTCTCTGACCTCAGTTTCAATTCTGAATTTCTTTGGTTCTTTAACAGGTTTGAACCATCTCATCTTTATATGGCAACTTGGAACACACACTCTCACTTAACTGAGTAATGCTTAGGAAGACGTATTAATTGGGTTATTCTTTCTTATCTACTTTTTGGCCATCATACACCATGGGTCACATTCCATTACCAAACTCTGAGTAGATCTGCAGTTAGTAGTACTGTCTGAGGTAGTACTTACTGAGCAGTGAGATATCTCCCAGGAAGCTCAACAGTATTAGATTCATAATGTGCTCTAGTTGTTTTTGAGTTGCTTCCTCTGCTGATAGATTATTAAGAGGACTTCTTCAGTCAGATATGCAGTGTTTGTGAATGATGAAATTAATTTTATTTATTTTCTTTGCAGGAATTGTTTCAATCATGACTCTCACTGTTCTTGCTTATGAGCGCTACATTCGAGTAGTCCATGCAAAAGTGATCAATTTCTCTTGGTCTTGGCGAGCTATCACATACATCTGGCTCTATTCATTAGCCTGGACTGGAGCACCTCTTTTGGGCTGGAACAGATACACGCTGGAAATCCATGGTCTAGGTTGTTCAATGGACTGGAAGTCAAAAGACCCCAACGATATCTCCTTCATTCTCTTTTTCTTCCTTGGTTGTCTAGTAGCACCTGTTGGGATCATGGCCTATTGCTATGGCCATATTCTATATGCAGTGAGGATGGTAAGTTGATGCAAGTAAAAGACTTCCCTTAATGAGTATTTTTTTCAGTGAAAAAGAAAATACATAATAGTCCTTGAATTTTGATGTAAGAGAGGATGATGCTGTATATTAAGCATGGATCAGAGCCTAAATTTGCACTCTCTCTTCCCATTCAAATTTTCAACCTTTAATATTCATCCATGCCTGGAGATACTAGAAAGGATGTAGGCTTGGAGGCAACACAGAGTTACCAAGATCTGTTTATTGTATAGTTTTACTGGGAGGTGAGTCACATATAAAAGGCAAGTTGGGGAGATGCCCCTACCCACTGCTCAACAGGGAGCAGAGCATCCTTAAATGCTTAAAAAAAGAAAACTGGTTGTAGTTGTCACTGGAAAAGAACTACTCCTTCCTGAGAAACAGAATTTTCTCACATCTGAGCAGTTGCATCTAATGGCACCCCTGATGTGATATGAGAAAAGTGGATACAGAAAACTCTTTAGTCAGGCTCCATTTCAGCTGGAGGGCATTGCTGTTCGCCTTGCTGAGATGTAGGCTTCCCTATGGACATGACAGCTGCCATCAGTTGGCCTCTTAGGCCAAAAACCAGTGCCTAATGTAAACACAGTCAGAACTGTAAAGATTGCATGATATTATATCCTTGAACTAATCTGAAAGGCTAAGAGCTTCTTGGCTGGCTCCCACTGACTTTTAATGAAAACTAGACATCAGAATCCCTCGGGTGCTACTTACTATTTCAACCAAAATTAGTTATCCTTATTAATGCAATATCCTGTTTTCCTTTTATGTGACTCACTTTTGCCTCAGTATGTCTAGGAGAAGATGTCTTTGGAGAAATTATTTTGGTGATACTCATTCTGTAATGATTCACACTGTGATTATGTTTTTTTTTTCAGTGTCAAAAAAGGCAATATAAAAATGCTTCATGCAACATAAAAAGTCTCCAGAAGTACAACTCTGATAACATGAAAAGTCAGTTATACATTTTTTTAGAACAATAGGAGGACACTGAATAGTGAAGCATGTATTCTGTATTCTGTGTGTATTTTGTGAATTTCTCTTGAGAAAATAACCATGTAAAATTCTTCTGAAGGGAGATTAAGTCTAATTAAACCAGGATTGCCAACACATTCAGACAAAGTTTTTGAAAACAGGAACCACTGGATCAAATTTATTTATATTGATGGACAAGGGCAAACTAGTTTTCTAAAATATTTCGAGTGAAAGGGCCATATATTTTGATACATCACTGTTTTCTAGTGAATTTCCTTCTCTGTTTCTCTTGAGATTATATTTTTACATTATTTACTGTATACAGTTAAAATTTGGGAAGCATGATACAAGCTTTCAGAAGAACTATAGTTCTTAAAATAAGGCGTCTGGTCTCTGTCCTAAAATTAAGTTAGGAAGTTAGTTATTTACAAATGAATTTAGAATTGTTTGACATTTACCCTTTTTGTCCCATTTCTTGTACAGCTCCGTTCTGTAGAAGATTTTCAGACTGTTCAAGTGATTAAACTTCTAAAATATGAAAAGAAGGTGGCTAAAATGTGTTTCTTAATGATTTCCACATTCCTTATTTGTTGGATGCCTTATGCAGTGGTCTCCCTGCTGGTAACATATGGCTATGGCAACCTCGTAACTCCAACAGTAGCTATCATCCCATCTTTCTTTGCCAAGTCAAGCACTGCTTATAATCCAGTCATCTACATCTTCATGAGTAGAAAGGTAGGTACATCACAGACTTTTTTATTTGAACAATTGTATTTGAACTGTGTTTATGACAGAGTTTTTGAGTTTGGATCTATTAATTTAATCTTAATTGCCTGGATTTTTGTTTGAACATATAGGATAAAGGGGAAAGATTTAGAAGCATTAAAATCCTATACAGTGGTTAAAGTACTGCCTTATCAGAAATTAACTTTTAGGTTTCTGAACGACTCAGTAGTACTCATGTGTACTCATGAGTACTCATGTGAAAAGGAAAGGACAGAGTGTCAAAAATTTAAGTGTCCTTTTTTGACACTTTACCAGTGAAGTGGGTTACAACGGGAGAATCTGATCTGAATCAGTCCCATACTACATGAGAAATTAGAAAAAAATCAGACTATCCTAAATCTGTTTTCAGTAAAATCTTGCATCTCTGATTTTTCCATTGTGCCTCTCTGATTTTTCCATTGTGGCAACATGAGGATTGTACAGCTCAGCACAGTGTTTTAAATAAGCATGTTTGCTTACAAAATACATCGCAGACAACCTATTTAGGATTTTAGAAAGGCTAGGGTTTTCCTAGGAAAAGATATACATAGGATGTTTCAGTATGTTAAAATAACAGCAAGGAATGAAACCATTGTACACATATTCTAGTTCTACTTAAGCCTGGAAAAATTATGTGAAGACACATTACTGATTATGTTAACTCTCAGAATCAAAACCATAGAAAGAAAGAACAATGCAAGCAAAAGGGTGTATCTGATCAGGTAGAAAGATTAAAAAAAAAAAGTGGCATTTTGAAATTCTGCTTATTTACAGATGGAGACAAATGCTGCAGTGTAGCTCAAGCAAGGGCCAAGCCCAAGGTCTGAGGTTATATGCTGTTTCTGAGGGAAGGCAGGAGGCCACCGAGGTGCCTGCTCACAGCTTTGTCTCAGGCAGCTCATTTCACGGCAGCCTGATCCAATTATGGCTGTGCCATTTCAGAGCTCGCCTGGAGTATGGAGAGCTAAACCCCAGGGATGGAAGGAGAAGGAAGAGATTGCAAAGCCTCTGCACCTAAGCTAGGGCCCTGACAATGATCATATTCAAAAAGTGCATATTTTAACAGAGAGATTTAGATATGGTGGCTCTGACTTCGTCTTTAGATGTCAGACTGATTAGCTTAATCCTAAAAAGGTTTTGTAGGTTCTGATACCCAGAAGCAACTTGAACTGGTATCAGGTACAAGGCCAGTAAAGCCGTAGCCATGATAGGAATGGATCAGCTAAGTATGATGACCGGAGATGCATCATTAACTACTTTTTAGTCACTGCTTATTCCAGATGAAGACCAAAACATGAATATTTTTGCCTGCTTTCTGGATTATTTTGTCCTCAAAGGAAATCCTAAAGCTTATTCTTTAATACTATTCTAGCTGATGTGATGCTTCTATCTCTAGCCTATTCCAGTATGCTCATGCTTTCTCGCCTTTACGTTCGTCAGAAATACCATATCATTTCTGAAATTTTCAAGGCTTCCTCTTGACCATTCTATAGAGTTTTCACTTAGCATCAGATGACCTTTCTCTGTCATCTTGTAACTTTCTAGGTCCCCTTCCAATTGAACCTGCTGCCTCCCTGCTGTCAGAATAGGACTGATTTGTTATAATAAAACCAACCTTGCACAAACTGTCATTCTAGAGCTTCTTCTATAACAGCTAGAAACAGTCAGTGGCCATGTGGGATCAAAGTAATCCTTAAAATCACTAAATGTCAGGCTACCAGATTCTGTCCTTCTCAGATAAAAGTGTTTTGTTTCTGTTTTTCCTGTTTGTTTTTGAAGTGCTCGCAAACCATTCCAATCATCTTTCGTTTATATATTGTAAAACCTCTTGATAAAATACTAAAATTGCATTTTAATGCCTTCTACTGGTCAGGTGACCCTATTGAACTTTCCCAGTGAGGAAAAAAAATCACTCACTGAAAAGTCAGCACATTCATTATAGAACTGAGGTAACTCGGAACAAGTTGGACAAGTTGGTTATTTTGAGATATTTTCGGTACTGCTGTCTTCACTGAATCACACATGAGAGTGATCAAAAGTTGTAATTTGATTCTATTTATTCTGTTCTGCAGTTTCGACGATGCCTCTTGCAGCTCCTCTGCTTTCGCCTGATGAGATTCCAAAGGGCTGTGAAAGAGACACCAGCAACAGAGAGCGACAAACCAATAAGACCAATCGTCATGTCACAGAAAGTAGGGGACAGGCCAAAGAAGAAAGTGACTTTCAGCTCCTCCTCTATAATTTTTATTATCACCAGTGATGACACTCAACAAACAGATGACAACAGTAAACACAGTGGGACAAAAGTAAATGTCATCCAAGTAAAGCCGCTATAGAGATGAGCTAAAGAGACACTAGACTGATGCTCTTCAGCCAGTGGACTGTTTGGACTAAAACTGGTTTCAGATATAGTGACTGTAGGCTATCAGTGGAAACCATTTTGAAGAAGTTCTTCATCTGACGCCCTGCAGGCAGTTCAGCTGTGGTCAAAATACCAAAATCTTTACATCTGTACCTACCTTGTGGATGGATGTTTTTAACTGAAAATTCTGAATTTTCTGAAAGCATATCATAGTGGTTATTGGGTTGGGAGGCCAGTAATAAGTGGAGTACCACAGCAATCTATCTATCCTGAGGTAGATACTATCCTGAGACCTGCCCTGTTTAACATCTTTATCAATGACCTGGAGAAGCTGACAGTGCATAATTGTCAGTTTGAAGATGACACCAAGGTGGGATGGACCAGTTGGCAGGCTGGAGGTCAGGGCTGGTATTTAGAAGGATCCGAATGAACATGAATTGGCTAACCGAAACCTTATGAAATTCAACAAGGACAAGGTGAAGTTTTGCCGCTGGAAAGGAAACACCCTGTGCAACAATACAGCTTGGGGCCTTACTGCCTGGGACAACACTGTGGAAAAAGACCTCTGGCCATGTTGGACAGCAAGATGAGCATGAGCCTTGTGTGCCTCAGCAGCAAAGAAGGGTAAGAACAGCATCCTGGACTGCACTAACAAGAGTGTGCCAGCAGTGAGAGAAGTGATTATCCCCCTCGACTCAGCACTTGTTAGACCACATCTAGATAGTTCCTCCAGTTTTGGACTCTCCAGTACAGGGCAGACACTTAAAGACTGGAGTGGGTTCAGCAAAGGCCACCAAGATGCTGGAGGCGGGAGCACTTGCCCTGTGAAAAGAGGCTGGGGGAGCCAGGCTTGGTCAGCCTGGAGAACAGGAGCCTTCAGAAGAACCTAATGGCAGCCTTCCAGTACTATGAAGAGATTTTAAGATGATGGAACCAGGCTCTTGAGGGCACTGCATGGGAGGACGAGAGACAGCAGGCATAAACTGAAACAAGAGAAGTTCAGACCAGATGTAAGGAAAAGCCTTTTTTCACCATGAGGACTGCCAAGCAGTGAAACAGGCTGCTCAGGGATGTTGTGCCATCATCCTACCTGTAGAGTTCCAAGACATGACGGAATAAAGCCCCGAGCACCCTTGTCCAACCTCAGAGGTGACCTTATTTTGAGGAATGGGTTAGACTAGAGATTCCTTGAGGTCCCTTCCAACCTGCGTTATCCTATGATGCTCTGTTCTGCAAGCACTTCCAGTGCACAGAGTTACTAGGAAGGAAGGAGGAGTGTTTAGAATTGTCTGGGGTTTACTTAGTCTGAATCTGAGCTTTACAGAAAACAAACAAACAAACAAACAAAAAACATAAAAAGAGTGATGTCCACAATTACTAGGGTCATACTTAGAACCAGAAACCATGAGAAAGCTGTCCCCATGTACTCTGCACACCATTATCTTGGTGGGAACCCTCAGCTACGTTATGAGAAAAATCATACAAATCAAACCACCAATGGAAACTGATCAGCGGAAAGGGAGAATGATAATTTTTATATTACAATATGATGCTTTATGCCCCTTCTTTTTACATCTTTTTTTTTTCTTTCTGTACATGCAGCAAGAGCCTTGTCTGATACTGATCATGGATATGTTAAATCTGCCATGGCATTTTGGCAAAAGTAACAGAGAAGAGCAGGGTAGCTTTTTCCTAACTTGCAGTATGAGTAATAATTGTCCTACTTGGAACTCAGTAGGCAGAAAAGATACTGAAGTTTTTTTTCACCTTTTTAAGTTTTCCTGTTAGAAAATGACAACACAATTCTGCCACAGACAGCTACCTGCCAGAGAACTACTTTGAATTAAGGTGCTTGATTCTCCTCCACATCCATTACACTGATGTTATTCCTCTGTCTGCTAACAGGGCTGTAACATACAGCTTTTCCATCTTGGTGGAAGCTGTGAGAAAAGCAACGAAAAATGATTTGCTTCCTCTGGAAACAAATTTTCTAAGAGATACAGGGAGGATGTACTGAAAAACTACCAGCACCAACAATTGGCATAGTGGCCAAGAATAGTAAAAAAAAAAAAAAAAACAGCTCAAACACAGAAACTTTCAGCTAGTTCCTGGGAGTAGTGCGTGACTTCAGCTTAGAACAAGTAACTGACTGTATTTGTGCCTGTCCTTTTGAAGAGGCCAATTCCTTATACATGCCCCTGCCTAGAGCATCAGCATTGGTAACCTCGCTCCTTGGGTCATCTTTAAAAACCCATAGAGTCCAGTCTGTCTTCTAGATTGAATTATATTATCTGAGAGAAAACAGAAGATGAAGTGGTCTGTGTTTCTTTCATGTTTGTTATTTTTCTTTTCCTACAGATGGATAGCATAGATAAATTGTTCTGGGATTTCAAAGATCTGCCCTTACAAAGCTTATTCATTTCAATGTGAAGAACTACGTCTTCAACCATTTATCACTACATCTATGCATATTTATATTTACCAAAGGGAGAAGTGTGTATCATGTAACTGTGCAATTCCATGTAACAGTGCATCCTTTTAACAAATTGTGTGATTGACATTTTAGTGTTTAGCACTGACTCTTTGATGACAGATTACATCTAATTTATTTATATTGATGTGTTTTCAGTGTAATATTTTTTCCCACTGAGAAGGAGAAGATTTAGTATCACCTGCTGGAGACAGCTCAGAGGGTATCATTAGGTACTGGGAAAAAATAGCATTTCAAGGCTTGAGTTAATTTTTGTAAAGAAAATCGGAGAATATCTTTGCAAAAAAATCTGAGAAAATATGTTATTTTCTGGAAAGAAAAGTATAAATTAATACTTTAATGAAAAAGGCTCAAGAACATAGAACAGCAGATTTGGAGGCCTAGATGGTGTGGACAGAAGGGCAGAACATTGAAGTATCTGAGAATGACATGAATCCTGGGCAGCAAAATCTGTATAACAGGTTGAAACTCGAAGACGAATGGACAGGTTGGGCAATATAACTTGCATTAACGGTATTCTATGACTATTCTATTTTTTTAAAAGTGTACTGAGAAGTAATGTATGCTATTTCTCTGCAGTTAAGGAGCCTATACAATGGAACACTGATTTTTTTTTTTAACTCAAAAAAGGAAGGGAAAGAGGAGGTGGAGGGGTTAGGCTGAAGCTGAGAAGAGTCCCAGATGGCAGGGATGACTGTTCCTGCAGCTATTAAAGGTTGTGAACTCGCTGCCCCTTTTTGAATTGGACGGTACTTCCACATGCCTTCCCCCTGTGGCAGCAATAACAAGGTCAAAAGTGGGAGTAGATGCAGCTGTTTAAATTGCAATAGCTAATCTGCTTTTCTTCTGACGAGGGCAAATAGAGCAGCCTTTCATTCCCAGTTGTCTGACACCGGAGGCCACTTTGCCTGCTGCTTTGACCTAGCGCTGCATGTAATTTATCCAGCCAAAACTGAGCATTATGAGTGCTTCCCCTCTCTCATTTAACAGGTTAGCATCAAAGAATTGCTTGTATTGAATTAGAGCTGAACAGGAAATGAAACTGATTTACACTACAAGTCAGAATGCACGTTATTAGCTGCAGATTCAAACTCTTCCTCCACTCTGGCTCTCCTACCACTCACATTTTACTGTTTTTTCCACGGTGTTTGACCACCCTCTTGTGGTTAGTTCAGCCCTCAAAGACAGGAAAGCCTGGTTTCAAAAAAGCCCATTTTCATTACACATTGCTGCTGCATGTGGGAAGATTCACTGTTTCACGTCTGATTGAGTTTTATTCATATTGCATATATACTTATGTGTTTGACAGATGATGGAATAATATATATATGGACTTACATAGGAGATGTAGCATCTATCACTGTTATATTTCCAGGAGCTTATGTACATATTCCAAAAATACATCCGGATAGAAGGTTGCTGTCTTCTTTATGTTTGCAAAATTTGTGCTACTTAAACAAACTTCCAGGATAGATAAAATGGAATTTTGTTTCTATGGTGAATGGATTTCAGATCAGAAATGAGAAAGTGTTCCTTGAAGTCTCCACAGCTTAGCTAAATGCCTGGCAGCAATGCACTCTCAATACCCTGGGCTTTTCATTTGCCTTGCTCTGCTAGGTGAGTTGAGCACTGAGTATCTATGCGGTACTCAGGCCATGGCTGAGATCATGAATTGCATCTATGCTAACTCCATTTGCACAGTTACCTTTTCTAAGGTGTGCTGAAAGCTCCAGAAAGAGGACCTTACAAAATCAGGCAACATTTTCCTCCCACACACCAGATGATAGGTAGTAAATATGCCGCCTAGATAATAAAACTTGTTTCATTACAGTTTCAGTAACATATCTGGCAGTTGGGTCTGAGGAGAGTTTAAAGGATATTTTGTGGGCTGTTGAATCTGAACTCTGACTATCCTCCATGGGATAAAATTTAGAGGAGGATTTTTATCCACTTCTGAGCCCTCTTTCAGCATTGAGTTCATATTGCCTTTTGGATAGACAGTGTTGGGATTTATCTGCAGTGTTGGGGCAGCATATCCCGCATCATGGCACACAAGACCATTCTACACCTCTGATTCCCAAGGCAGCTTCTATTAATCATAACTAACTCAACTACTTGCACAGATATTTGAAAAATAGATGTTTTCTGTGTACTACTTAGAAAACAATGAAAATGATTGTACAAAAAATGGATATATGCTTATTTTACAGTTTTTCAATTATTGGAAAGCTTGTGCATTAGGGGATATTTGGACAGGAGAGGGATATGATAAAGGAGAAAAGAGAAAGCAAAGAACTATATAGGAAAACATGCTTTCCTTTACATAAGTTCTAGTATAAAGACTGACATATTTTTTCTCTTATGATGAGAGGATGGTAGCCATATGACTAGTACATACTTAGGATGTTTGGTGTGTAAAATAGCATCTAAAAGTGCTCAGTAGTTCCACTAATGTAGCTATTCATGGCTACACAAAGTAGTCCAGTTCAT